TATTTGAAATTTTTGTAAGCGAGAGTAATAATTCTGCAACGACCTCCAGAAAAATATTTGTAGTTCATCAATCGTTAGCTAGTAGAAACATACATATTCGTGTCTATTGACAAATATTAATTTTCAAGGTCCGTTAGACCATAATTTTTTTTTTTATTTTCACATCGTGATGAATTTGAAACTAAAATACAAATACGTGTACTCCGCGCCAATGACATTGCACACGGGGTTAACACAGATATTTCTACCACTAGTCAAATTAGGCATTTATCTTGCACAGCTGAGCAGAGCTATGCGAAAAGATGCTTTAAAGTTATACAAAAATAGCCATACATAATTACTGCTGTACAACGCGGAAGCATCTTCTATTTCACTTGCCTTATTAGCAACATCATGGCTATCGATTTCAATGGTCAAGTGTTTACCACGGCATATCCGAAAGATCGCTATGGTAGTCAAGGCAGTAAATATAATTTTCCATGTCAACGACCCGTGTAAATCGTAAAATCCAAAAATTTTGGGAATTTTTGGGAAAAAAATCTTATTCTGAAATTTCGTAATTATCGCCAGAGATTTTCGGCCAATGACTGATGTACAGTATTATTTCGAACGTAGCCGATCAACTCTTTACATGGATCAAAAATGTTTGCACGACGATCTCGCATGCTTGTTATGTGTTTTTTTCTCGCTTCTTCAATTTCCTTCTCAATCCAAATAAGTCTGAAGAATCAACAAAAACAACAACAACAACAACAACAGGGTCGAGCGATTTTCATAAAACCGATCAACATAGAGATCCGCAGTCGATGTAAATTTTTGTACATTAAAAATCCGTTTTATTCATACTTATACATGCAGCTGCCGCTGCAAATTTACAGCTCGAGGGCGCGTAAATCAATATTCAGCTCGCGTGCCTCGTTCCGAGCTGTGTGTATTGCTTTAATCAACTCCTCACGTTCAAACACACATATATATGAACGCAACATGTCAATCTTGAAAAATCTTAATTAAGTCGCCGCGAGACGCATCACGTCTTCCTCTCGCGGCATGCCCGTTTGTAATAATGCGCCTGTGCGTATGCTGCGTACGTGTACGATCGCGACATGTACACGTTTGCACATTAATAATGTATTATATACGAATGCGCCGGCGAGAGAGAATGAGAAAGACACGTACGCGACGCTGCGACACGTAATAATACCAGCACATACGTACACGTTGTGAGCTGCTGCAGCTGCAGCTGTATAGTGCACCGCGACGACGATCGCGATCCAAAGGGCGGAAAAGTAAAATGACGCGATGTATGCATTTTTTTGCATGTCGGACGCGTTCCGTAGCATACGGGCACGTATCATATGTTTAACGTTCCGATCCACACATATATAATATATATAAATCGAGAGAGAGAAAGAGACGCGCCTGGGCGGCATCACTCTGGTTTCATCTAATTATCGAGTCGAGTCGCGCTGCAACCGTACACACAGACACGTACGCATACACGCATATCGCACAATCCTCGGATGGCACGTGGTCATCACACAATATGCAGCTTCGGAGCGCCTCGCGACAGTCCGGTTTCTCTCCGGCCCTATATATATATATATATATAATACCGATCTTTGCCGATCGCGTACGTGAACATGTCGCCGCTGTGCCTGCTGCACTCGCGACCAACAGAGAGAGATTGAGAAATAAAAAAAAAACAGCAGCAACGTGCAATAGCAGCAGCAACAGCATCAGAAGTAGCAGAATGAAGAATTACAATTTCCGGTGGCGTCTGTCTCTCTCGCTCGTTCGCGACGACGTCGAGCGCAAAAACATCTGCGTCCGACAACGAATTTCATTAATATATATCAATATATAAGTATATATAGAGGATGCGTACGATATGAGTCTCCGAGCTTGCAGTTTATACAGCACCACGCGTCGCACATACAAGTGGCAAGACTACACGACGACCGTATGTATAATCTCGCGTACTTACCAGCAGCGGCCCCAAAAGAAGTCATTGTCTGTTGCTGCTGCAGTCACGAGTCGCGGCGCAAAGGCACACACAGCGCCAGTGCAATAATTGGCCATTAAAATTTTTTGTCTCTCTTTCGTCCCGTTTTGCACACACTCGCCATAGCCAGCGCGTACATCTCTTCTTTGCCCGTATAGAGTGCGCGTCTCCCCAATTTTTTTTTCATTCTCTGAGTTACTGTATAATGTTCAAAGGCCGGAAACGATCTGCGATATGTATAAGCGTATGAAAAGCGTTTGTATATCATACATCCTCACCGCAGCGAACCAAGCAAAGTATTTGTCTCTTTACTATAATAATCTGCATCGGCGCACCTGACTCGGATCAACGAAACACGACAAAAGACGAATTAACGAACCTCCTTCACATGAACTGCGTGACTTTTTTCCTGACGCGATCGAGCTTTTTACATACCAAACGAGCAATTAAAAGAGCGGCGAGTGCGCATGTGTCGCCAAGTCGCAAAGGTTTTAATCGCCAAAATAAAAGAGACTCGAGAGTGCGGAGATTCACTTACAGAGAGATCGATGCCTCGAATGCGGTGATCCCTTCTTCGGACGTGTCACAACTGCATTTTAATGAAGGAGCCGCACTGCAAAAAGAAATCGGCGCTGCGCTCGTTAAGCGCCCCGAAAAAAGGGACAAACAGATATCGCTAACTTATACATACATGCGTGTACGTATATCGCTATAATAATAATAATAATGATACTTTAGTTTCTATATACGTGTACCAACGTCTCGTAGCAATATATATTCTTAACACCGTTAAAATCCCTCTCTCTCTATCACATACGCTCGAGGTTTTAGCGGCCGTCATCGTCGTCGTAGTCGAGCACGCGCACGAGACCGTACAGCGCAGTGCAGTTCCTTATATTGTCTTCTTTGTGTTTCTTCCTTTAACTCCCGTGTCCCTTTTTTTTTTAAAACCTCCTCCTTCTCTCTGGTCAACTCTCTTTAAAAGAGAGGAAGAGATACCGTATTAGGAAACCTGCTCGCGCGCCGGCAGCTCGTCTCTTTTTCTTTTCACCGCTGCTTTATGCTCGTCGCCGTCGTCGTCGTCGTATGTCTCCCACTTGCAGTGCACTTAGAGAGGAGAGGAGAGCGAGTGAGAGATACTTCAAAGAAGACAGAGAAAAAGACACTCGGCTCTCTGCGCGTACACGCACACACACATACTTATAGGACGTGGTCCACTCGCAGCAACAGCAGCTAGTACAGTACGTGAGCGCGGTAAAGAGCTGGCAAAAACTTTAACTTAATTTTACGATCGATTCGCGTATACTCACATATATACTCTCTTTATTGAATGTTTCATTTTTATCGATGCGATTCGTGCACTTTTTAGATTTATAAACGTGCCGTGAGATCGGCAGCTAATTTATATTGGCTCGTTTTACACCGGCGAAAACGAGGGCAAAAAAATCGGTAATTTTGTCGCCAATAAAGCGACGATATAGCTCAATTATAAATGTGTTATCGTTCGAATCGAATATTTCACTGCTAATTTCCTCCTCCGCTGTTGGGCGTCGAAGTCTGATGTATTATAGCTACACCAATATAGCGACGTACCCTCGCAGATTAACACGCGTTTGATACAAATAATCTCAATTAAACGCATTCTCGTCGTATTAATTATCCGCGAGTGGAATGTGACAATTAAAATTCATGTAAAATTCGACGAGTAATCCGAATATTGAATTATTTATCTCGCGATCCAAGCAAGATACGAAAAACATAATTACACCATTCGATTCCTCGCAAATTTTTACATCGACACGGACTAAAACATTTTCAAGTGTCAGTCCATATTGGTATAATTATTACTATATCTATGTATAAGTTTGACGCCCAATAGAGAATATAATTTAAGCGAGGTACGAAAAATCTTCGTGCTGCAGCTGCATACCTCGTTCGCGTACAACACACACCTCCAAGGTGAGCAAGAGTCGCCGAACGCGGCGATGCGCTTGAATGGATACTGTGCAAGTACATGAATGGGTGGTAGCCTTTGCCGTCCACATATAATACGACCCTTTTTCTTCTTTATGTACTCTGTACCTACTCCGACGACTCGACTCGACTCGAGACCGCAGCTCTTTTCGTTTTACTTGCATATTCCAATGCTGTTGGAGAGATGTATTATAAAACAGTATAATATAATCAGTCGAAGAAAAATAAAATGTTTTGGAACAATAGAAACTCGAGCAAGTGTTGACTTATTTGTCAAATTAAGAGACAGTCATGGCTTTATTTTTCAAGAAAGCAATTCAGGTGGTATAATTAATTTTTTTTTTTTTACACTGTTTACAAATAGATTGGTGTGAGGCAATTATTTTACACAGCTATTATGATTGCTTGCAACTATACACAGCTAGTTCACGCGTCGAGTACCCTTTCACATTCACAAGTTTCCTATATTTTTTAAAAACGGAGGAGACTAGATATACTGCATCGTAACAAACAATACATCCGATGTATCAGACACTCGTATTAATACATCTTCTTGCCTTCACTCTAAATTGAAAAAAAAACATCACGCGACAAACGATACCGTTACGATTTTTCTTCTTTTAGTACAGATAATATACGCCTTTAAATTTGAAATGCAGCAATGTGTTATATGCAGAACGTGTCAAACACTCGGCGTCGATGGGAATTCACAAAAGGCTATTTGTCGTCAAATACATACACACAGTCACACACACGTATACGCCTCGGTTGAATTATTAATTAGCGCGGTGTATTAAGTCTTTGGTTCTGAAAGCTAAACATAACTAGCACGCGCGTTTTACACTCATTTAATTAGAAACGGCGGATCGAGCGTTTCATCTCTTTCTCCCTCTTTTCACTTCCTTACTTGGGCTCGTTTGACTATATATCTATTTATATATTATATTATATATTATAATTGCACTGCACTTTGTAACACACACTCACGCGCGTCGCGAGTCACATTAGAAAATAATTCTTTGATGTTGTATATTTACACGTTTTAAGAAGATGAAGATGAGAAATAATTGCTCACTCACTCTCTTTATTAAGGACGTATTATAAGGTTGCTTTTAATGGGCGGAGTCGATTGTCTCGAACGAGCACCACAAAGTATAAAAACAAACAAAAAATTTAATAAAATAAATAACAATCAACGCAGAAACTTTGAGACGTGTCTGGCACACTCGCTCGATAATAGTTTCTCTAGTTCATTAAATGCCCTATACACTCACACACACTCGGTCACATTACATAGCTGCCGACGGCTGCTCGACTTGGCGAGGCATACGATCCACGACCATCTGATCGTTGATATTGTCGTTGCTCGCCATAGCGGCGGCGGCGGCGGCGGCGGCTGCGGCAGCCACTCGAGCCTGTTCGGCCGAAAGCTCCCGCACGTCGTCCGGCAAATGATCCTTCCAGCTGCGGTAGAGGTAGCGCGTGAACTTGCGCAGTCGGCGGAACTTGCAGAAGGTCGAGCCCTCCGCGGCGTCGCGCTGCTGCGTCTGTATGAGGAAGCCTTTCTCCTTGAACGTTTGCTCGAGCTTTTCGCGCTGCAAGCTCTTGCGAGTTTTGCGCTTGTTTCGATGCGCCGCCACCTCGTCCTGAGGGCTCGAGGGCGCCGAGACGATTCGACGTTCCGTGATACCGCCGGTGCCGATGGGAGAGGTATTGGTACCCTTCAACAGCGCCGGAGTCGGTCCTCCTGGAACCTGCTGGAGACTCTCCCTCGGAAAGAACTCGTACCCTCGCATGCTTTTATCTCCGGTACCGCTGTAATATCTAAAATTGCCACCCGAGTCCACGGACAAGCTCTTCTTCTCCTGCAAGCTCGGCTTGTCGCCCCCGGTGAACTTGAACTTGCATATGCTGACCTCCGTGGCGGGATTGTTGTTGTTCTCCGGCGGCACCGGCGGTATGAAGATCGCCGATCGCTTTCGCTTGGCCGGCGGTGGCTGCACGTGCATCTGCATCGCGGCGACGGCGGCGACGGCGGCGGGGGTGGACTGAGCTTGCGGCTGTAAAATGGTCGGTGCCGCTGCGCGTTTCAGTTTCATTCGCTGTTCCAACAGCAGTCGCTGTTGTTGTTGCTGTTGTTGATGCTGATAGAAGGATTGGAGGGCGGCTACCGTTTCAGGATGGACGAATTGGCCGTCGTTATTGTTGTTTACGCTATTGTTGTTGTTATGGTGGTTGTTGCGGGTGGCCCAGGGCAGCTGTATCGTCGGCTCGTCGCCACCAGCGCTGCTGCTACTCGACTCGCCAACCACGATTCCCGGTGTCGACGGTTCATCCTCTTCCTCGTCGCTAGGAACCTCGACGGAGGCATCCTCCACGTCGCGCAAGCACAGATTCAGCGGTTCGCTCTGCTGCAGCAGCAACTGAAGCTGCAGCTGCTGTTGACGCAGTTTCTGAGCTGCGGCTTGGCGTTGCTCCTGCGTCAGACGTTTCTCCAGTAGACTACTGATGCGGTTCTGCACGTCGGTGCGCTGATAGACTGGATCCTGCAGCTTGGGCTCCAGCTGTTGTTGCTGCTGTTGCTGCTGCTGCTGTCCTCCGACGAGACCTGGAGTGCCCGGCACGATCTGCCCGTAATTCTTGTAGATCAGATGGCAGATGTCGGCTTTTTTGGGCTTTCGGCCACGCCTAGGCTTGCTGTTCTCCAGCGTGATCTCTCCCATGTAGGGCAGATCCGCGTATCTCATCGGTGGTCTCGGTTGTGGATGCTGCTGAGGCTGCCGTTGTTGGCTTGTACTGTATCTGGGCGTGGCAGGACGATGAACGGTAGTAACCGAGCTTATGACCGATCGTCTCGGAGGCGATACTCGCTGCTGCTGCTGACCCACAATAGTCGTCGGCGAAGGGACTTGATTGCTATTGATACTACTGTAAGCCTCTTGCATGGCCGCGAATTGTTTCAGGGCCAAGTGCTCGTCGATTCGCGGCCGACCCAGGCCAGCCGCGAAGGGAAAGTTCGCCATGTTCGTGGGACTAGTCGCGGAGCTCGAAGGTGTACTGGGCGAGGAGCTCGCGGCCAGCAGAGCAGCCGCTTCCTGCGCCGCCTGGGTGGCTTCGTAATGATCAAGATACTCTTGGGGCAGGGCTTGATGATGAAACTTGAGAACGAAACGAGACTTTCTTCGGCCTCGACTGAAACATATTCAAATGAAAAAATTATTCTTATCGTTATCATCGATGTGGGCTTCGAGCTTTTATATGAAGCTCAGGTATCGTATTGTATACCTTGCGGCAGGTCTCCTGCTTTCGTTATGCTGTTCAGACACATGTGCTTGCGGTCTATTATCGCTTAAATCGGAGCTATTGCTCGTAGTCGTCGTAGTCAGCTCTTCGTGTGGCTGATTTCCGCTACTACTGCTGTCGATCTCGTTTTTGACTCTCGTCGTAGTCTCGGGCCGTTGAGGTTCCAACTCGACCTTGATTTCATTTGGTCTATTCAGAAATCAGATGAAGATATATGAAAGCTCGAGATTATACAAGAAAGCCCATATTAGAAAGTAAATATAAAGATATATGTGTGTCAAGCGGAAGTATCTCGTATATGCCGAAAGTATATAAATACACAATATGTATATTATTTACGTTGTCTCGAAAACGGGCGGCTGTTGTAGCTGCTGTAGCTGCTGCTGTTGTGGCTGTTGCTGCTCGGCATCTCCACCACTACCGTCCTCTCGCGGCTCTTGCTTAACTGCCATGTTCTCGGCGGGCTGCTGCGATTCAACCGGGTAAGGTGAATGCCGCTGCTGCTCTAATCGTATCGTGGGCGTTTGCTTTTTCAACGATGGTGGTAAAAATCGCGATGTTGCTCGCCCCAAGTAAGACGGTGGCGACTCTGTTTTCCTCTTCGTTACCACTACTCGATCCAATTCAGACGATCCAACTAATCGCTCCGCGATAGCTCGGGGTGGCGAGTATTCGGTTTGCATAATGCCCCCTGCAACAACACGAAACGACAGCATAGCAATAAATGGTCATCGTCTCTCGACTTCGTGCATGAGTATCGTGTTACAGCACACAAACGCATATGCCGTGTGGCTAATTTAAAACTTCATCGCATCGCATAGCATTCGTGCATAAACACACTCACACACACACACACACACATGCCTAGCCTTGTATGGCAGTAAAGTCGCTCGGTTATACGGCCATTTAAAGCTCGATTTTGGCAGAGCCCCGCATGAGCCGCGCGCCGTATAAGGAAGACGTTTAAATTCCATCGCTATCTCGGCCGGATGTGTTTCTTCTTTAATACCGATCGAGAGTCATGTGTGTCGAGAGAGTGTTTGTGTGTAGTCGATTTGATTGCCTCATATGGACTGACTCGCACAAGTACACATGGCCACGAGGTTCGAAAAACTCGGGAGTGAGAAATTATCAAGATTTTCGCTGAATGTGTGGCGAAAAAAAAAAAATGAAAAAAAAATGAAAAAATATGAAGATTTCGCACGATGGTCACTGATGTAGAAATAGACCAACACGAAAAAGCTATAAAAAAATATAGATAGATAGCGCTCATCTGTCAGTAGATCGAAATACTCGCGCTCAAAATTCGATTTTCTCGAGGTGTCATAAACCTCGATGCTATTAGCGCGCGAGGTCGAGTTCGGTCCGCTCGAACGCGATATTTATTTTATTATAAAATCAAAAACTCAAAAAGTGCGCGAAAATAATTACACACATTCGTATTTGTAATACGAATTTCGCGGTATTGTTTATACCTATCGACTCGTACGCGTGGAGCAATAATTCTCTCTTTCTCAAGCGTGAAATTATAATGGCAGACGCAAAAATTTCGCAGAGCTCGCTTCAAAAGCTCGCATGTACCAAAAGCTCGGCGTCGGCGGTGCGGGTGGCATCATCATAATCACCGTCGTCGTTATGTGTGCAAGCGCAGCGCAACACAGACGACGGGAGACTGATGCGATCGCCGCAGTCTGTTATAGAGTCCGAGAGAATATAGAGGTAGTTGCATGCGCAGCTTGCAAACATTATAACGCGCGCGAGCTTAGCGCGAAAAGAGAATATATATTTTTTTTTGGCTATTTTAAGGCTTGCAAAAACACGTTGGCGCTTGGCCACTATTTTCAGAGCATCTCGGTCTCTCGCTCTCTCTCTCTCTCTCTCTCTCAGTCAGAAAATTTCGGACTCCGTATTTGGGATTACGCCACCACCACCATCAGCATCATAATAACAATAATAATCATAAGCGTGATCAATACGCCGGCTTGTATACTATTTACATTAACGCGTGGCGGTGGAGATGGAACCGAGAGAGTTTTCTATTTTACGCGATTATCGCCTAACACACATTCGCTCGCGCGAGCTTATACTAAAAGAGCTTCTGTGTGTGGGTGTCTTGCTGAAAAATGCCCTTCTCGCGGCAGCGGCAGCTTTTCTCATTCTCTCGTCGACTCATTCGCTCGCGTTAGGTCATTATATGCGTACGTGCGCGTTCATGAAGCAGAAAAAGAAAAAGAAGAAGAAGCGCCTCATTTTTCAACTTTACGCACGCATACTTAGCAGGATATATATTAAATTCTTATTTTTAAAATATTATGTCATGCGGGAGCTTTTTTGAGCTTTTTGGAAGAGTGTGAGGAAAAAAAAATGAACGCAAGTATAAACGTGTACGAAGATGAAACACAGAGTGAAGGTAGGAGGAGACATCTCAATTTTATATAAGTGCGAAATGTGCAATAATTTAGTGAACGTGCTGCTCCGCCTGGATTGACGAGTGTGCCTGAATGAATGAAAAATTGTTTGCCTGATTAAATTCGCAACGTAACATGTATGTATTATATCCACGTATCCACCGTAATATACACATAATCGCTGGAAAAAAAACACAAGGCGTTAAAGCTTTGATATTTACATATGATATAGTCAGTGCTTGCGGCGAGCCATAAAAAACATTTATGCGATTTGCAATTGTGTGTTATACCTGTGACGGGAAATCTGCTATCGGGCAACATGTGTACGCTCGTTTGTTTCGAATCGGCCCTCTCTTCAATCGAGCGGACCCGCACCAATGCGACGTGATAACTCAAACAGGAGCAGCGGCAGAAGCAGAGCCTCGACCCTCGGTCCGATCTTTCCCTCCCCCGTCGCTACTATTCGGCACTTGGTTACGATGCGTTTCTTGGATCCTGACATAGCATTCAATAAAGTTTTGAATCGCTGCCGATCGCCAGATTTCGATATTCTTTTATCAACTTTTTTTTTTCGTAATCGAGCGAGCCCGAGCGAGCTAAAGAAAATGTTAGAGTAGACCCGGCGCGACGGCAGTTATGGACAAACTGACCAGTGTGTGTGCACGCGCGAGCCGCGTGAATTGGAGGCGGACTCGTATATAATACGAGAGAGGCAAACTATTATATACACGCATTCCCCGTACACACGAAAGGAGGAAAAATGTTCTCGTGTATAGAGAGAGAGAGAGAGAGAGAGAGAGAGAGAGAGAGCAAACGAGTGAAGGAAATACAGTCAGAGACTGAGAGCAACAAAATAGATATATATAACGTGCGCGCGTATACAAGAACAGAGAGCAATAAGAATTTATACATAAGCTACTCGAGAGAGTGAGGGATATGTACGATGCGTGTGTGTTGTACGCGGGGGTGGGGAAAGTTCATGATTCGGCTCGCGCGTTTAGAGTATTTTATCGTATATATAAAGCTCACGTGGTAGAGAGACGCGCGCATGCTATTCTGGGATTTATTATTAAATACACGCACACATTCGTACACCCACACAGATGTATATATATAATTCGCAATGCGATCCGCGTATATGCCGCGGGCAAAGCGGCCTGCCGCTGAGCGCAATGTACCTCGCTTGGCTCCGATGCTCTTCTTTCTTTATAAGGTAAAAAAAGCTCGCGCGATGTATAAGCCGCGAGTCGAAATTAGACGCAAGCTCCGAGTTGTGCGCGCGTGTTTGTGTGCGCCGCGTGTAATCAATATGTTTTTCGAGATTATTAACCCGCGCACGGGCACGACGGCACGCGTTGTTTTTCGCGCTCGTGTGCCGCCGCTGTTAAGTACATCATCGTTGTTATTCACGCGTGTACACTTCCGGAGCCGTATTAAACGGCATGGAAACGAGGCTAGTGGCATAATAAATTTACGAGCGTTAGCACGTGTGCGAAGCTTCCAAAATCGAAAATATAGGGCTTGAGTTTCGATAATACCATTTCCGATTGTGTACGAGCTTGGTTGCGCTGATTTTTGATCGATCGGCTAGAAAAAAAATATGAAAAATTCGCGGTATTAGATAAAATACACGTTCGCGTATATAAAAGCTTCTCTCGCGCTCACTCGTGACGAAAGCGCGACTGATTCGATGTAGCTGTATTATATAGAAGTTTTGCCTCGCTCGCGCGTGCATGCAACCGACGGTCTAAATCAGACCATATATAAACGCCGCCGCCACCGTCGCCGCCAGTAAATATATGCAATTCTGAGCAGTGCCGTGTGCGCGGGCGGATATTCTCGATTTGGCCGCGGATTGGGATATACGGCGACGGCGACGGCGGCGTCGTGTAATAACGCAAGCTTTAGAAGTCACTCTCTCTCTCTCTTTCTCGCTTTTATGCGTTTAATGAATGCGCTTTTATATATAGAGTTCCGCGCGCGTTAAGGTATACATATCCCACCCTCATCTCTCTCTCTCTCTCTTTCTCCTTTTTTGAAACACCTCAAAAATACGCGCGTATATGGGCACCTATATTTAAACGACATCTTAGCAGCGCGGCCACGGTGGCGGTGGCAGTTGCTCGCTGATTATTTTCCGGCCAGACACCTTTATGTTGCGCGCGAGTAGGAGAGTGAGTGAGCTTATAAGCGCCAAGCGCGGGTAAATATATACTCACGTTGCGCTGCGTGTATAAGGAAAGAGAGAGAGGGAGAGATAAAGTCTAAACGACATGTCGAAAAATGAGTCCTTTTTCGCGCAGACCAAAAAAGAGGCACATCGATTCGTCAGATTTACGATTGCTCTCGCGTAACTGTTGGATTTATTTTAGCGACGTATTTGGTCATGTGTTTTGAATCGAAGTTTGATCGACTTATAATTCAACCAAGCATATTAATCTATAGTGCGTAATATTCCAATAATTATGTATACACGTCCTCTCGACGTTATGACTTTTGCCTCCGATTTTTTTTTCTTTCCTTATATCGATACACTCGACTTATAGATTATTATTACTAGAAAATGCATCAGCGGCAGCGATCAGATTATAAGTATCGAAACATCGCCATATTCGGCTAAATCATTCGTATGCATATTACAGGCTGGTGTACGTAATTTCAATAATATGCTGCGTAATAGTCGTTTTTTTTCTTCTTCTCTTTTCGCGTCGTCTCTTCAACCGTCGCATACGCGTTATATTATAATTTATGTAGCTATGCAAGCGAGATCTCTCTATGGATAAATGTCAAGCGCATGCGATAATCTACATGGTGATCTCTCTGCCTGTGCGCGAGATGCTCGCGGATTATTGCACGCGGCGCGCGTATTGTAGGCGTCGTCAGCGCGCTTATGTGTGTGCTGCACTTTTAAGGAATATAATACAAATACACGCACGCCTATATTGGCTGTGCTGGCGTGATTTTTTCGCGTTGTTTCGTTTTTTTTCTCTTCTACTTCTTAATCGATTCGCCTGGGGCACGGATCTTTGTGTGCAAGCATTTGCATTCGCCTCATACAAGTATCGCAAGTTTCAACAACAATTTATTTTTTGTCTTTTTGGACTCTATTTGCTGTTTCATACGACGTGTACCTGCGTGAACGCGCGCATTTGCTCTACATAAAACGCGGCGGACGTACGCGCAGCTTTAATGAAATCTCATTTCCTGTCCTGTATAGACATTCAATTAAATCTCTCGTTGCAGCTCTCTCGGAGATTAAATGGCATAATATATAAAAGATCTA